TTAGAAGAAAAAGTGGGTAAGACATTGGAACTCACTGGCAAAGGAGACAACTTCCTGAACAGAACACCAACAGCACAGGCTCTAAGAGCAACAATCGATAAATGGGACCTTATGAAGCTGAAAAGCTACTGTAAAGCATAGGACATAGTCATCAAAACAAAACGACAACCTACAGACTGGGAAAGGATCTTCACCAACCCTATATCTGACAGAGGGCTAATTTCCAGAATACATAAAGAACTAAAGAAGTTAAAAGGCATCAAATCAAGCAATCTGATTAAAAAATCGAGTACAGGGCTAAACAGAGAATTCTCAGTAGAGGAATACAGAATGGCAGAGAAACACTTAAAGAAATGCTCAATTTCCTCAGCCATCAAAGAGATGCAAATCAAAACAACCCTGAGATTTCACCTGACACCCACCAAAATGGCTAAGATCAAAAACTCAAGTGACAACACATGCTGGAGAGGTTGTGGGGAAAGGGGAACCCTCCTCCATTGCTGGTGGGAATTCAAACTTGTACAACCACTTTGGAAATCAATCTGGTGCTTTCTCAGACAACTAGAAATAGTGCTTCCTCAAGATCCAGCTATACCACTCCTAGGCATATATCCAAAAGAGGCTCAAATACACAAGAAGGACATTTACTCAACCATGTTTGTAGCAGCTTTATTCCTAATAGCCAGAATCTGGAAACAACCCAGATGTCCCTCAGTTGAGAAACGGATACAGAAATTGTGGTACTTTTACACAATGGAGTATTACTCAGCAATTAAAAATGAGGAAATCATAAAATTTGCAGGCAAATAGTGGGACCTAGAAACGATCATCCTGAGTGAGGTATCTCAAAAGCAGAAAGACTCACATGGTATATACTCACATATGTAGACCTATAAGATAGGATAAATATACTGACCTATCTACTTAAAGAAGATAAAAAAGAAAGAGGACCCAGGGTACGATGATCAATCCTCACTTAGAAAGACAAAAGGGATGGACATTGGATGTAGGAGCAAACAAGTAATAGGACAGGAGCCTACCACAGAGGACTTCTGGAAGACTCTACCTAGCAGTGTATCAAAGCAGATATTAAGACTCATAACCAAACCTCCAGCAGAATCCATTGAATAAAAAAAAAAAAAAAAAAAAAAAAGGGGGGGGGAGTTAATAAGACCTGGAGAGGATAGGAGTTTCACAAGGACCAGATATATCTGGGCACAGGGGTCTTTTATGAGACTGTTTCTCCAAACAAGGACCATGTATGCAACCTAGAGCCCCTGCTCAGATGTAGCCCTTGGTAGCTCAGTATCCAAGTGGATACCCTAATAAGGGGAACAGGGACTGTTTCTGACATGAACTCAATGACGGGCTCTTTAACCTCCTCCCACCCCCAGGGAGGAGCAGCCTTGCTAGGCCACAGAGGAGGATTTTGTAGCCAGTCTTGAAGACACCTGATAAACCATTATCAGATGTAAGGGGAGGAGGTTCTCCCTTATCAGTGTACTTGGAAAGGGGCAGGGAGGAGATGAGGGTCGGAGGTGGGGGAGATGAGGGTGGGAGGGTGGGATTGGGAGAGAAAGAGGGAGTGGGATACAGCAGGGATACAAAGTTAACAAACTGTAACTAATATTAAAAAAATAAAAATAAAAAAACCCCAACTCCCTGTGGTCTAGAGAGATGACTCTGTTGGTATAATGTTTGTTATGCAATCCTAAGTAACTGGGTACAACACCCCCTGCACCAACAAAAAAGACAGTCATGGAAGCATGCACTGTAGCCCAAGCGCTAGGCAGGCAGGGACAGATGGGTCATGGAGCTCTCTGGATCAGTCCAGTTAAATTGGTGATTCATTAGGCAGAATGGTGATAACTAAACAAATGTCAAAAATGAGAAATCTGAAATGATGAGAATTTCTGAAACACACACATATACACAAAAAAAGAAAAAAGAGAAATATTATATTTTAATTTATATTTATATATTATATGTATAATATATTAATATATTATATTATAAATTATTATATTATAAAATACATAGAATATAATATACAGTAAATAGTATGTATTTATATTATATATGTAATATTAACTTATATTATATTTCATATTATATTATATTATTTATATTATATTATAGTATATCATTATAAAATTTTAATACTATATGTATTATATTATATTTTATATATCATAATATATAATGAATATTACATATAATATGTATTTTATATTTATAATCATATTATATTATATACAATTTTTATGTTTTCATTATATATTTTATATGTTATATATTTATTATATTTTATGTAGTATTATATTATATAGTAATATATTATTAGAAATATTATATATTAATTTATAATTATAAATTATATGTATATTATTATATATTAATATATTATATAAAATAAAACATATAATACACAATAAATATTATGTATTTACATTATATTATATGTAATATTACTATATTACATTACATTACATTATATTATATTATTGTATTGTATTGTATTATATTGTTATATTATAACATTATGTTATATAATATATGTTATATTATAATATATTTTATATATCATAATATATAATAAATATTTTATATTATTTAATATTATATATTATTTATTTTATTTTATATATTTGTTATATAGTATATAGTATTATATCTTTAGAAATATCATATATTAATTTATATATATTATATGTATAATATTGTATATTAATATAGTTATTATATACTGTATATAATATAATATATTATATAACATATATTATATCATATCATGTCATATCAATCATCGTATATTATAACATTATATTATTGTATATAAAATATAATATTATATATTATTTCATATATTTTATATTATGATATTATATATTATTATATTATACAGTATTATATTATTGGAAATATTATATATTAATTTTTATTTATATGTTATATGTATAATATTATATATTAATATATTATATATTAAATGACATATAATATATTTATTATATTATATATTTATATTATATATCATATATTATGTGATATTTACATTATATTATATTATATTATGCTATAGTATAGTATATTGTATTGTATTGTATTGTATTATTTTATTTTATTATTATATTATATTATATTTATTATATTATATTTATTATATTTATTATATTTATTATATTGTATTGTATTATTTTATTTTATTTTTTATTATTATATTATATTATATTGTATTATATTATATTATTTTATTTTTATTATTATATATTATATTATATTATATTATATTATATTATATTATATTATATTATAT